AACCCAGACAGAGAGCCGAGGAGACAGGGCGAGATAGGAATCGGGACTCTGGTGGCCCAAGGCTCCGTCCAGTCCAGTGCCCTGCGGGGGGTACTGTAAGGGCTTTCAGGATCTTAGGATTTAGAGCTTGCAGGAACCTTAAGCAACATGTAGGTCTTCCCACTGAACCAGGAAAGCTGATGGCTGGCTGGACGGCTTTGCTTCTAGGTTTGCTCTCCTCATCCATCCCCAAGCCCAGTGTTTTCTTCAGTCACCAACTCAAAGCACCCCGACTTTGTCTTGGAAGAGTAGGAAGGGAAGAAGCGAGGGGCAAGGGGGAAGGTGAGTTAGGAGGCTAGAGGGAGAACTAAGAATCGGGGTATTTTCTCTAGTATCCCCTCAGGCCGGACAGCTCGGCAGCCTGGTACAACTTAGTTAGTTGAGAGCCAGTTTCAACTTCCACACCTCCTAAGAACCCTATTTCTCAGCCCCATCTTGGTGCAAAGAGGCCGGTTTTTTAGCCTGTTTGCCAAACGGAAAGCTGGGTCCTTTATTTGGAAACCTTGTCCCAAGCTCTCCGGAGGAAGGACTGCACAAGCGGGAAGAAAAGTCTAAACCTGAATGTCTTTCGCCCTCTCCCCCTTCTCTTTTCCGGTGTTTGCGGTCCTGATCGGTGCACAGCCCAGCGAAGGGTATCCTCAGCCCCTGGGACCCGGAGAGAAAAAGATTAAAGGGCGGACAGGCTGGCCACAGCAAGTCTGGGCTTTGGAGCTCAACCAGTGAAGCAGCCTCGGGAAGGGTATTCAGCACTCAGAAAATCCGCCGGGCGCCATCGGAGTACGAGGCAAGACTACTATTTCTGGCTGTCCATTATTTTCTCATTCTGTTATGGATATCTTGAGTACTCCTGAGAGATGTCAGCAGCAAAACTGGTCAAGTGCAATGCCCTCTGAAATTGTTTTTTAAATTCTTTAAGAGAAGGAAAGAAAAATATATTATATATATTATATAAAATATATCCAAGCAAACAGAATGGGGAGCCGGTATTGACAGGCACATGAGAGGCAAATCGGACCAACCTTGCTGTCCCTCATTTCCAACCTTCGACTCACCTTTTCCGTCCTAGATTGGAAATCTGATTTTGCTCTCCTCTGTCTCCTTTTACGCATTAATTTGCAATATCACGAAGTCATTCTCTGCACAGCTTCTTCCTTTCCCGGGACTCCGGTGACCATATATTACCACGGGAAAGGAGAGCTCAGTTGGTCTGGGAATTATTTTTTTTTTTAAACAAATGTTGGTTTGGTATCCCCACTTCCTGCCTAATGCCTAATAATTCCTAATTCCAAGGAAAACATCTTATTCTTTGTAAATAAAAACTTTGTTCCCGTCACTGAAGTTTTTATATATTTAAACTACCTAATTCTGCCTGCCAAGGCTCAGGTTTTTTGGGAAAACCTTGCTCATCCCTTACTGGTTGTGTTTTGTTTTTGTTTTTGTTTTATTTTTGCTACCTCAAAGCTGTGCGACCATTTTCTTGGGGGCAGGTTCACCAAAGCTGACTTTTTATTCTCTTGACCTCGGAATATTTCCATGAAAGCCATTTATGCACAGGGTTGGGGAGGCCAACTTTCTTACTTTTCCGTTTAGAGAGCCATCTTAATCTCCCTTTACCTCCCTCTCCTAAGGAAAGAAAAAAAATCAAGAAAGGAAAAATATGTTCAGAACCACCAAAAAAAAAATACCCCAAAAAACCTTTTGAGTTAAATAGGTGAAGACCAGTCCCTTGAAATAAAATAAGTCCAGTTAGACATTGGGGGAAAGGAGAGCTCACCCTAGGACACCCTGATTAAAAAAGCGGTGTGTGAACGATTGGAAAGGAAAGCTATGGTGAAAATGGCCTTCAAGACCACTAGGAATACAAGGCAACATTGGGTCCTGGGAATTTCTCCAGCATACCAGCACTATAATGTATGCACATGTGTATATGGTTAATGTATGTATGCTAGTATATATATGGTTTGACAATACTGATTGAGTTGGTAGGATAACAAGTATATAATAAAAGAATCTCTAATTGGTGGGGGAATGGGAAGTTGAATAGATGTATATCATTTTGCTCTGTATACGTGTAAATGCATATGCACACCTGTGGGTAAAAGTTTTGGCCCTGTTTGCTTGTGAATGTGTGCTTGACTGGAGGGGAATGCACCCATGCAGACTGGGATGTAAATGTCTGCATCAACTGTTGGGGTAATGGTGCAGAAATGTAGATATGCTTGGTCTCTGCGTTTGTGACTGAGAGAGGAGGGGGTGGGGGGTTACTCACACTTCTAGAGACAGAAACCAACCTGGGCCTCTCTACCAGCATCAAAGTTGGTTCAGGAGCCCGTTTGTGTCTACCCCTGGGTCCCTGCCAGGGACAGGGAGGAAGGAGCACGGGCAGTTTTGTGGAACTTAGACAAGATTCAGACTTAATTGTTAAAGCAGCTGGAGGGAATGAATGGAGACATGCAGTAATATAGATCTCATATTGATACATCGACACTCCTCACAACAACCCAAACAGGGAGCAGAAGCATCATCCCCACTTTTCAGAGGAAGAAACTGAGATCAAGAAAGGAATCAATGTCTTGCTTAGAGAGTATATGACTAATTGGAGACTCGAACGAAGGACCCCCGACTCAGTACAAGTTGGGCACCCTAAGACTTGTCTGCCAACTATTGGCTCTTCTCTGGCACTCTATTGATTGGAAAGTACCTTTGTTATTCTCGGTGTTGCAGAGTAGGAGCAGGCTTCGAGAGATGGAGTGGATTGCCCCGTGGTCACGGAGCTAGGAAGTGAAAGGACAGAAGATTGCACGTGGAGAGACTGTGACCAGGGTGCACGGACACTGCGGGTGTATATGGGTTTCCATTACCCAGAGTTGTAAACACCGAGGCGGAGAGGGCAAGGAGTGCCGACGAGGCTACAGGAGCCTTTCCGGGCCCTAAAGAGTTAATAAAAGGTGTTTTATGGAGATGCCGAGGTGAGGGTCCGCCCCCGCGCCCCCAGTCTTTCCCTCAATTCCCCTTTCTTCCCCCAACCGGCTCCAAACATCAAACAGCTTGGCAGTAGAAGGCAGTTTAACGAGGGCAACACCTTGGCTGCGGTAATGAGGCGGGCGCGGCCCCGGCCTCCACCTCCCCCTACCACCCCCCCGCCCTCCACCGCCAGCCTCCACTCTCAGGGCCTCCCGCACCTCCGGGCGGGCACGCACGGGGTCCAGCGGGAGTCACAGGCCACGCAGGACTAGCGACCCACTATTTTTAGAGGCTCGAAGTATCTATGGCACGGGAAGAATGCATTCCGCGGGGGCTGAGTCCCAGGGATAGAGTAGTTCCCGCCGGGGATGAGGAAGATGGGAGCGGGAGACCAAAAAATCAGGACCCACAAGAACACGCAGCACCAGAATTGACTGGATAGGGGAGGAGTTGGCATAAAAATTGTCCTAAAGCTGTCCTGGACCTCATCATAGAGACTTCAAGATACTTGGCCTCTAAATTCGAACACACCTTGTCCCAAGGGCAATTCTCCCCGAATCTAGCCCTAGCCCGGTGTTCCTGAGGCAAGCCTAGTACAGGCTTTAGGTTCTAAATAGGTTCTTAAATATTTGGTGAATCACAGTGCCCTGAGGCAGTGCTTTCTTGTAAGCATCACCACCGGGCGGCTGCACCAGTATAATACCCATTTTATATCTGTAAAATGAGGAGCAGAGAGAACAGACAGGGGAAAAGATCTGGAGGAGAGAAGGTGACTGGAGAATATAGTTCCCTACGTGAGTGGAGTAATGGAACCATCCGACAAACAGCGTTTATTAAGTGTTCACCATGTTCCTGCCACTGTGCAAAGCTCTGGGGATACAAAGAAAGAATAAAATAGTCCCTGCCTTGGGTTTGGAATTAGAAGACCTGGCTTCCTAATTCTGGCTTTGCTACTTTTTAATAGGTTTGTTGTGAGGATCAAATGAGATAAGGTATGTAAAGAGCTTTACAAAGATTAATGAGCTATATAAATATTTGCTGGCTATTACTATTACTGCCTGTGCTACCAAGACAAGTCACCTCACGGTTCTCGTCCCGTTTCCTCCTCTGGAAATGAGAGGATCTGAAAGAGCCAGCGCAACGTTTCGGAGAGAGTTGACCTCAGAACAAGGAAAATCAGGGTTCAAGGCCTGACTCTGACTGACTGTGAGTCTGAACAAGTCACTTAAGCGGGCAAGTCTCAGCGCCCCGGGCAACTTGTTAAGGTTATAGATCTTCACTGGTTTTAAAAAAAAAAAGCTTCCTACACGAAATCACAGGGTCTGCTTGTCAGAGAAAAGGAGGGGATTGAACCAACTGACCTCTAAGGTCCCTTCCAGGGCTAAAATCCCAGGATCCTCTCTCCCTACGCATCTTTTTCTAATGTCGGGCCTGCCTTCTACTGAAGTTGGAACCTCTCCTTAAATTAAAGGTCGTGGAGGGAGGGTTGGGCTGCATAAAGTGTGAATCCCTGCCCCCACTCCTTTCCCCAAGTTTCTTCCAGCTCCTACCCTCTACTACCTGGGCCCCAAGAGGGAGGAGATAAAGCCTTTGGCATGGAGCTGAAAGAGCCCAATTTTTCATGGAGCTCTCTTTGAGTTTTTATTCTTCTCTTTCCTAGCTTCTTCCCCGTGGTCGCTGGCTGCTTCCAGGTTGCAGCTGAAGATGATTTGTAAGAAAAGATACAATAAACGAAGCACAAGTTTAAAAAGCCTCCAAATAACATATTTAGGTGAAAATTTATGAGTTGCAAAGCACTTTCTTCAAAACAATTTATTAAGGCAGTGAGTGCAAATATGCCCATTTTAAAAGATGAGCTAACTGAGGCATTTTTGGGGTTTAAGTGACTTGTACAATCAAGGTCCCATTAATGATAGCAAGTTAGGCCCATTCCATCCTTTACCTAAAAGCCCAAGGTACTTTTTCACTTAGGCAGCAGCCTGGTGAAGTGGAAAACATGCTGATTTTGGTGTTAGAAAACATGGGTTCAAATCCTGACTTTTCTACTTCTTACCTGTGTCTTTGGGCACATTTCTTGGGTAAAGTGAAAGGGTCAGAATCTGGTGGCCTTTAAGATTCCTTCCATCTCCAAGTTACAACCCTAAACTTACAATCAAGCTGAATTCCCATAAAGAAATAAGTGTAAGAGAGAGAATTTGAACCTAGATGTCCAGTTCACTGTTCTTTTCACTAAAGGAAAACAGGAGGACTTTGCAGACCAAAAATTCAGCAGAAGTCATATCTACATTGTGTCTCCTCAAATATTCATAGCATCCACTGACCCTCCTTTCTCATCATAACAGGAATCAATAATGATCAAGATTAATGATTGATACAAATAACCACAGAAGCCAGAAAAAGTCACCATTCCCAACCTAAAATATAGCAGGAACACTTTGTCTTACACTTTGAAACTTGTTTGGTCTTTGGGATAGCAGCTCTGTTTGCTTAGGCAAACAGGGATGGAAAGCTTGGCTCCTTGATGCTGGGAGGGCCTTTGAGGGGAGGGGGGGAAAGGGAAGGAGGTGTAGACTACTGAAGCAGCTTGGGGGAATCTGCTTTAGGAGGAGTGAGGGCACAGGAAGGAATACCAAGTGCTTACCCTTTTCAGGAATCCTTTGAATTTGAAGAGGGTTTTTAAATTTTCAAAGCACATAGAATGGTAGCTAGAAGGGACCTTGGAACACAGAAAGTAGAAGGCAGAGTTGGAAGGAAGCTAA